AATGTTGTTTTGACACAACTAACCTGGCGATAATTAAGGGCGGGTACATAGGGACTAAAATGAAAATAGGGATGAGTTAAGACAAAAAAATTATGAATGAACAAAGTCTTAAAGTAATGGAGAAGAGAGTCAAAGTTACAGAATGATGTAAAGTTCCGAGGGGCGTTTATTTTTTGCAAATTCGGAGTGTAGTTGCATAAAAAGGCGTTTGAATGTTTTCGGTTGATAGATGACTCTTTTTGGAAAAGGAAAGTATCTTTTAATGGTATGACAGTGTTTTGAAATTTTCAGTAAATAAAAGTCTGATAAAAATGACACCGAGTATTCTGATTGTAGATATAAAGGATGCAACCTCTTCACTAACACCCCGTGCGCTCTGACTGCACAATGTCTGTGCTTTTGCGTTTTCATCTCATGTTGGGTGTATGGGTGAAAATATAGGTTCAAGGTAACAATTCCATAGGGACGGTGGAGCTAAGGACGCTAAAGGAGTGGGGACTATGTATCAGTATACGTTAGTATGCGGTATTTATAAGGAATAAAAGAGAAAATAGTTGAAAACGAAGCCTGGCAGTCAAAGCGATTGGTCAAATCGTCGCAAGTCCGAACGCGCAAGTGTCTTGAGGCATTGTTTGGTTTTATCAACTGAACTGATAATACAAATTGGCTAGGCGGGCACTTTCCCTTTTCTGAGCGAAAAAGCCTGTCACCGTGACCAATTTTGATTTCACCGACGCAGCACCTCAGTTCCTTTATCAAATTTCCCCTTTGCAAATAAAACAACTTAAGTCATGCGTAGGAAGACAGTTTATATGTCCCTTTCTTTAAACTTCACCTCCACTCGAGGAGGCATCAAGGATCGGGCGTGTTTGTGTGTGAGGAGCAGGAGAGGGTTTTGAACCCCTCATCCTAAAATTGACATCCCCTCCTGCTGCATGATAGGGAGGGATAACTCCCAAAAGAAGCATGCGGAAAAAGTGAAAACTTTAAGGTTGGGATTTCTCCCACTTATCCTTTTCGATGGACTTTACGGTCTTTGTTTCAATTAGATATATCTTTACCTCGGTTTTTCTATGTATTCTTCATTCTCAATATCGTCGCCATGATGGTGGTCGGTCAAGTTTGCGTCCGTCCCTCGACTTTTGTCATTATCTTCATTATCCTATTTCTTTTCTCGCGTCTCCTCGACAGCACCAGCAAAGATATCACCTTTGATTCAAATCGTTGTACTATCTTTCGTCGAACTTCGTCGCGGTGTAAACAGCGAAGGTTTCCCATTTGCAAATGGTCTAAACATGGCCAAACGACCATGGCGATGCCTGACGCTCGAGGCGTCTTTGCGGTTAATCTCATCCTCTTGTCTGGCGACATTCACCCGCAACCTGGGCCCTCCATACGAGGAAAAGCAGGCAGCAATGAAACTACAAACCAAGGCAACAAATCGACCAGAAATCAAGCAACGAAGAATCGAAAACATCTCATGTCCGTCGCCCATCTTAATGTACGCTCTGTGGCGTCTCGCGAAAATTTTCACCTTCTTAAAGACATGATTATCAATAACAAGTATGACCTTTTTACTATTTCTGAGTCGTGGTTGGACTCTACAATACATGACGCGGATATTCTTATTCCAGGATATACGACGTTCAGGCAAGATCGAGGGCTACGCACGAGAGGTGGCGGATTACTTGTTTACATTAAAAATATTTATAAGGCCTCGGTGATTGAAAAATGGTCCTCAACGTCTGAATCGAATTTTCAACAGCTTTGGATGAATGTACAGTATAAGAAATTTAAATCTTTTCTTCTCTGCACAGTTTACAGACCACCGGATGCCTCAATAGATTTCTTAAATGGCTTAACGTAAAGAAAAAACTACTTTTTAATGACTTAGTCATGGTTTATAAATGCATCAACAACTTGACTCCTAACTATCTCTGTGAACGATTTAAACAACGTTCCGAAATTCACCAAAGAGATACCAGACAGAAGAGCGAGCTTACGTTGCCCAAGTGCAGGATCGCGGCTGGGCAAAGGGCTTTTGCCTTCCGTGGGGCTAAAAGTTATAATTTTTTACTCAAATTTATCAGAGACACAGATATAGCCTAAGTGGTTTTAAAAAGAAAATTTTCAAGAATATTCTTAATTCGTAACATGTGACTTTAGTATTGAAATATAAGCTAATTTTTTTTTTTTTTTTTTTTTTTTTTTAATATCATGTTATCTTATTATGACGTTTTTACGACTTAATATCTTATATTCATGTATAGCAGAAGAGCCCCCAGGGGGGAGCTATGCAATAAAGTATGTATTATGTATTATGTATGTATTCTCTTCCATCATTGCACCTTTTTTCTTCAAACGGCAGCTTATTAGTGAACATATAAAAAGGGCATCTTGCTGCAACGAGCAGATCGCCCCTGATGAACGCTCAAGGCAGGAGTGTCGAAACGTTGGGTCGATGAACTGTAATTTCGATTACATTCATTAAACCTTTACGCCAGAGTAGCATCAAACCATGTCTGTGTTTGAGATTATTTGAAGGCTGGTAAACCTGTTGTACAAACCCGGTTTTTTAGTTCCCCCCCTACCCCAGTTTTCTTGCTTTTTCACTTCTACTCCTTTGTCAGAAATTCTTTGTTAAAATAACCAGCTGAATATAATCAAGGAGAGGGGAGAGGTGGGGAAGGTTTGAACATCTGGGTAATCTGTAGCTGCGGTCAATGTCCTTTGACCATTTTTTCCCTCTCTCCTTTTTCAGTTGGCAAGACAATTCACTCTTTCATGCAGTATTCATGAACAAAGTAAAACTCAAACCATAATGCATCTTCATCATACTGATTGAACCATGGGTCAGTTTCCAATAGATCTCAAGCAAAAAATTTTACATGAAGTAAGGAAACAGCAGACAAAGGAACATCGTAATCAAACAGATTTTCTGAGAGGATACAGAATACCCTAAATACTGCAGAAAAATTAAAATTCAGCTGAAAATACTTTTATTTCCATCAGTGTCAAGTCTTGAGAAATACATTTATCGTTCAAATGAAACTCTTACTAAAGTAAATGATGTTAGTCAACAGATGCTACATAAATTTTGCATTGATACTGATATCAATAGATAGAAGCTACTGTACATTTACTATGCCCAGGTTCAGAGTCGTCAATCGCTGCTTATCATGTTATCCCTTTTCCAATTGGTCATAAGACGGATTATAAATTTTCTGGGAGAAGCCCATGCAACTCGGTTAGGATAAATAATAAAGAGATAAATACTTCAATTGAACCCCCCTCCTGGCTTTTCAACCACAATGTAGACTAAGTGCTTGAAAATCCCCACTAGCAGGAAACAGACCAGTGGGCTATTTACAGAGCGCAGCCAAGGAGTTGAACTAGGGGCAACCGAGAACAAATCAAGTGAGTGGCAGGGTGGGGGACTTGAACCCGGAACACCGGACTACAAGTCCAGCACCCTAACCACCAGGCCACGCTGCCTCCGTAATAATAGGGAGTTTAAGCAAACCATTACGGCTGGCGCTGCTACGGCTACCGGAAGTAAAGTTGTCCAGAAACGAGTCATTGCGCATGTCAGTGGCTCCCATCCACCCGTAGCGGGGAATCCTTCTACGCGAGTGGGAAGGTTTCGGCGTAGTCTGTGGTACGTGAACTTATCTCGCTTCTTTATTCGCTTTATACATTCTCCTGAGCAACTTTAACTATTGAAATACACTTAACATCTTTAAAAATAGCTTATCGTGAATATTTATCAAGCTTGCTGTCCCTTACCGAGTGAATCTGCCTTTATTTTTGCAGCCGGGTTTGTCGAAGGATCGAAGCAGTGTGCACATGGAGAACGCAGCGAACGCCAGGAGAAATACATGAGTAGAGAGTCTAACTTTTCCTTTTCAAACCTTAAAGACTACTTGAAATTCAAATAGCTGAAGCCGAGGATTGACGAGGGTTATGAAGGACCGTGTAGAAACGTTGCTTTAGTGTTTATAAGCTCCAAACTGGCAATTTTACAACACATAAGCTTAGATATTTTAACTCACTCATTCACTGTGCACAGGAACGCTAACAATTTTTTTCTTTCGAAACGTCGGAATCCCTCGTCTCTTTAAACGAAGTCATTTTGAGTTTTTAGACATGCAAAAACTACCGCGAAGACGCTTATTGGTTTTAAACTTCTCAGCCGTACTAGGTTTGTAGTTCGCGTTGCTTAAAGTTGAATTTTGGCGGGCTACGGCGACGTATTATCCCCAAGCCTCGTCAACCACGGTAGCCGTAGCAGCGCCAGCCGTAGTAATTTGCTTAAACTCCCTAATATTGGCGATGCTGGTGCTGCTGACACTTCCCCACAGCAGCACCAGAATCACCAATGTAATTTCAAGGTCAATACAACACTGCCAGAGATGTGTTTTCTTTCAAACACTGAGCCAGAGCAGCAGCACCAGCTTCATCAATATCATTACCACGCAAAGTCAACTCTGTCAGAGATGTATTCTCTTTTGAACACTGAGCCAGAGCAGCAGCACCAGCTTCACCAATGTTATTTCGAGACAAATACAACTCTGTCAGAGATGTATTCTCTTTTAAACAGTCAGCCAGAGCAGCAGCACCAGCATTGCCAATATTATTCAGAGACAAATACAACACTGTCAGAGATGTATTTTCTTTCAAACAGTCAGCCAGAGCAGCAGCACCAGCTTCACCAATGTCATCGATATCCGAATACAACTCCCTCAGAGTTGAATTTTCTTTCAAACACACAGCTAGAGCAGCAGCACCAGCTTCACCAATGTTATTCAAAGACGAACACAACACTGTCAGAGATGTATTTTCTTTCAAACACTCAGCCAGAGAAGCAGCACCAGCTTCACCAACGTGATTGAAATACAAATCCAACTCTTTCAGTGATGTATTCTCTTTTAAACACTCAGCTAGAGCAACAGCACCAGCTTTACCAATGTGATTTCCAGCCAAATTTAACTCGGTCACACTTGTATTTGCTGTAAGAACGTTTGTTAGCAAGACAGCCCTCACTCCCTGTAATTTTCTTTGTGAAACATCAATAGTTTCAATTTCAAGACAACAGCCGAGAGTGCGGGCCAATTTTACATCGAAATTTGTATCATTTTTGCATTCATAAATGCACTTCAATGTAACAGTCATACTATCGGCGACTTCCTTATCCCCGTCCTCCAGGTTTAACAGCGTTGCCATACTTTTTACAAGCTTCTCTGCTGTTTCCTTACACCGTGTTGCTAGAATGCCAAATGTAAACAAAAGCACTTCTTTCAGCTGATCGCGATATCGTCTGTCAGCAGCTATGCTCTTCGTGCTTATTTCTTGCTTGATTAGGTGACAACTGAGATCCAGTGCTGCGAAGAACTCTTGAAAAGTCTTGTGAAGAAAGCCATATCGTCTCGTCGGTCTTAGTTTACTGCCACCGGGCTGAACGGAAAGAAATCCTAATTCAGGTAAATCAGTTGCTTTGTATTCTCCAAGCTCCTTCTCGTCAAAGTCCAAGTTGTCTTCAAGTAAGCCTTTGAAAGCTATCGAGCCAAGGTGTTTCAATTGGCTTTCGTAAAGTTCAACAAGGTCTTTGCCGTTTTCTGGAAGTTGTTTCTTCGTTCTGTATCTTCGTAGTACACACTCAACTATGTTCATGTACAGCTCCGATCTGCTTTTAGGAAAGACACCGTTAAATTCTTCCCAGACTAGGCAAAAAAGCGCACAGTTAAGAGGATTCGCTACCATGTCTCGAAGTTTTCGATTATCGCGCAGCTGGACCATAAGCTTTTTGGCCAAGTCCTTCCTCGTTTTGAAATATTTGTTAATAAAGCTTCTTGCATCTTTATTAGTGAATCCCTCGACCTCCAGCAGTGTATTGCAGTATTTTCGAACTTTGGCTCCACCTTCGTGTCGTGCTGTAGCAACCACGCGACAATTTGGCAGCACTCGGCCCTGAATAATATCTGTAAACGTTGGTAGTCGACCCTCAGACACTTCATCCAATCCATCGAGCACCAGGAGAACTTTGGATTGATCTTTGCGAATGAAGTCGAAGAATCTCCTTCTTTGGTCACTGTCTACATCTCGTGGTAGAAGTTGATCGTCAATGGCTTCCCAAAGGTGAGACCTAACTTCACGACATTTAATCAAAAGCACTATGAGGAATTTTGCGAAGTAATTTCCAGTTGTGAGTTTTTGAGTAGCCCAGTCAAAAACAACTTTTTTGCAGTAAGTTGTCTTTCCCATACCAGGCTTCCCTTCGATTAACACAACTCTTGGTTCTTCACGTTCTTCGTGCGCGTTGAAGATTTTAGACATGGTGACAACTCGATCTGTAGCTGTTCCTCTCGTTTTCTCTTTGTAGATAACTTTAAGTCTGGTGTAGAAATCTCCAAAAGAAAAGTTTAAGTGTTCACACCAGGGAAGGAGGTTCATCGTACCCTCGCGGGCTTTGTACAGTTGGCGAATGTTATCGATCATTTCGGTGGGGTCAAAACCATCTAAAATAAAAATAGTTCTCGTAAGGTATTTAGTAAAACTATGGAGTACTTCTCTCCAGATTTTCGTGAAAAATCAAGAAATTTTAGCATGAGTTAGGTGTGCGGAACGTGGTAAATAACATTTTAAAAGAGAAAGATGCACCTATCACAGCAGTGGAATTCCATTCAAGAGCAGCTGAGCACAACAGGTTATAAGTGACGCAAACTCAGTCGACCTCATTGCGTGAGTAAGACTGGCTTTATTCATTCCAAACGTCGCGATCCATCATATTCAGAAAAGGTTTCGGAGCTTTATTAGAAATGCATATGTATTTTTTCAAGTAATAACAGTATTTCTGTAATTCATACAAGTTTAAAGCAACGATCTAGAAATTGCTACTCCGGGTTAGCTCGATTGGTATAGCGCCGGACTGTTGTGCGGGAGGTAGAGAGTTCAAATCCGGCCGGACCAACACTCAGGGTCTTTAAATAACTGAGTAGAAAGCGCTGCCTTTGTAATAATATCTGCAAACGGTTAGACTTTCTAGTCTTCTCAGATAAGGACGATAAATGGAGGTCCCGTCTCACAAGCCCTTACATGTGATTTAAATTTGTGGGACGTTAAAGAGCCCACACACTCCTCGAAAAGAGTAGGGCACATAGTGCCCGGTGTTGTGGTCTATCTTTGTGCAGTGTCTATCCAGGGTGAATTGGGGGGAGGGGTGGTGCCTCGCATAGACCTTGTATTCCGTTCGCACTAACCCATCCGGGTCTAGTCACACGTGGTAAAGTCATTAAAACAAAACATATCATGTCACAGAGTCGGCTCTTATTCATCAATTCTGGATCGTTACTTATATTAATAATGGTAATTGAACTGAGGGAAGTGCAACATGGTCTGAAATTACAAGTGTGATTTCAGACTAGAGCTGCACGAAAGAAAGTGTAATTACCACTTTATTACATCTACTTTGAAATGTAAAAATTCAGTCGCATAATACAAGTTTTTCCAGTCTATATTTTATTTTATTTTTAGTCAATATTTTTTGATACACTATATTGAGCTGGTTTTTAAAAAGTTACAAAATTTGTCTGTCATTTTCATTAATTTGATTGAAATTTGACTAGTTGCAATTGCGCTTTAGTAAAATCTGTCTCTCTATCGGGGAAAAAGATGCGATTTAGAGCATAAAATGGTGCAATTTGTAGATGAGCCGCACCGGTGAGAGCCAATCAGATTGGGAGGATCACAAGTGGCTTCAAATTGCCTGTAATAAATACTTTAACTAAGTGGAATCTGTTCTTACCAAAACTGACCTTCACGTTTTGTTTCTCCACGTTGTACCATCAATGTGTCCAATTTGTCCCTAAGGTTACCGATCAAACTTCTCATCTGACTAAGATCATTTGTGATTTTGTCTGCAATCGTAACATTGATATTAAAAAAGTTTTAATAGGTTTTGCTTCTATATCTTATGAAAAACACAACCAATTAGCTTTTTTAAGGGAATGGCCTCTCTTGGGTTGAAAAAAAACTTAAGGAAAACATGGAAAATCAGTTTATTCCATGCTGTTTTATAGCACCAAACACCAGACATCACTACAGGGATGCAATTAATTCAGTAAACGGTAGTGGTGCCACCCTTACTGTAGGAGTTTCTCAAATGGTTGTGGATCGTGGGTACAGGTCGAGGGTTGTGGGTGTGGGTAAAAGTCGTGGGTGTGGTTAACACTTGATCATAACAATAATCATTTAAAATACTAATTATAGTAATACATAAATATTATACAACCCTTATCATTGTATCAGCTCGGTTTAGTGAGGCTAATATCTCATTGATTTAGTTAAAATTCATTCAATAGAATTCATTCACTTCACCCAAAAAGAAAAGTGAAACCAAGACAAAGTCATTATTTGCAGGATGATATAGTCTCTTAGAATGAGGGTCTTTCCAAAGAGTTTGAGAAGTTTCGTTCAGGTCAAACGCTTGATCAACACACAAAAAATAGTTTTACACTGAAAAGCGAGAAGTGTTAAACTTAAACGAGCAACGTTTTCAAAACATGAAAGAGGCTTCGATATAAAACTAGGATCAGAAACACGGCTATTGGCCGTGGTTTTGAATTAAAATTAAATTGTGCTCGCAGTGCGGATTAAAAATAAATGAAGTTTCAAAAGTAAAAGTAACAGTATATCCCTATGCCGGTTAGGGAAAATAAAGCTTGTGTTGATCAATGACATTCAGACAAAGCACCGAATGCTTTATTGTCACCTCTGTACCATCTTATCAGCATCTAAGAAAAAAATGAAGTGAGACAGCGAACTGTTGCGAGATAAGCCGATATAAAGATAGCAACGTTGTAACGTAAGTTACAAGTCTGGAGATGTTGGCTCCAAGGTTTTTCCTAGGCACCAAAATATAAAACCTTTGGTATCCCGTGTGCGGTGCAATCGACAACCGGAAATCGGAAGCCTAAGTTAAATTGATGACGACAACTGGCATCGGTGACATGAAATTAAACGAAGAATCGATTACAATCTTAACTTTTTCTTCGTCCATTTAACTAGCCAGGTCGTTTTCTAAATCATGAAATAAACTAGATGTGAAGAATTATTGAAATAACCAATAAATCGAGAGGTCCTCATAGTTTCAATTTTTAAAAGATTCATTTCTTATCTGACAAAGACCAGACTCGGCAGAGTTGCGAAATCACACGTAATCAAGAAACATACGTTTCATTGTTCGTCGAGAAGTATTGAATTACTTCACGGTAGTACTTTCTGTGCCCGGGTTTGTGTGGTTCAAAGATCAGATTTTCTCAAGCAGTCGCTGTTAAATTTTCCTATTTTCGCTTTATTTGGTCAATTATGTCAGTCAATAGAACTTATGCCGAAGTTGTATCGGGAGATGAGGATACTCCAGATGACAGCCAAACCTGGAAGAGCCTGGTTAACCCAGGAATTACTACTCGGTAGGCTCGTCGGTCGACCGGATCACGAAAAAACCTTTCTCCACTACAATAATAACAGTAATAAATTATTAGTAGTAGTGCTATTAATATCATTAAATATGAGCTATTAACCATTAATTATTAAGTATTACCCACACCAACGACCCACAACTTGTACCCACGACCATTAGTCAAACTCTTACTGTAGTCTCTTGCACGGCCGTTGTTTGGTCTCGTCACGTAACACTTGGCGTGACGAGACCGAAAAACGGATGTGAGTGAGACTTCGCTAGTATGCGTGAAGGCGCTCATAATTAGCGCTTAGGCACGAGCAGTTTAATTTTACCGCGGATAGCAAACCAAAACTCCATTTTATCTCCAGGAGACCTTCACCAAAGATAGTTCGCGGTCTCCGTTTCTCAAATAAGTGAAAATACATTGAACGAAGAGAGAAAGAATCGTATTTCAAAGGCTTTCATGTGGACATTACGACGGGCAGGCTGTTACCTATCTGTACTTTGCCCTTTGCTTACGGAATACCTAACAAAAAGCAGGTTACTTACAAGGTAATGACGCGTGATAGGGTAAGGTCGAAGGTAGCATAGGGCGAGTTATATTGGTAGAAAACGTCAAAACACGCGAGGGTTGCGTGGAAATTTTATCACTGAATTATTTAGCGTTTAGCTTTATGCTAAATTTTATCATTTGGTTAGGTTTATGCCGTAAAATTTAGGCTGTTTACTGGAAAATGTCATTTTATTTGGGGGAAAGCCTAAGGCACGTAATTGTAACGGGAAAATACCGCTAAAAAAGATGTAATTCTAATTCTAAAAGCAAAGAGAAGTACATATATTGACATGGCAGTCGACATTAAAAGGTTAATAAAACTTGAGGATCTTTTCGACCTGAGCCAAAACAGCAACCAAACGACAAAGACAAGTTTATCGATCAAATATGCTTTATGCAAATGCTTTGTGCAAATTCTACGAGAACGATGTTATGCCGACAATGTTCACTGATAAAACTGCAATAAAACTGTCTAGAGGCCAGACAAAATCGTCAATAGCCCAACTGATCTGACATTCATCTTAATATGGCACCGAAAAAACCAATTCCATAAAGTATGATCGGCAAACTTGACAGATTATGGATGTTGAGGCGTTGTTTCCCGTAGCCAACGAACCTACAGTTCAAGAAGAACTACACAAACAGCCTTTTGAACGTTCTTTGAAGGAGGTTTAGCTCGCCTAAGCTTGCTGCTACTTCTGCTCGTGCCTGAACTCTCATCCTATCAGTAAAACACAAAGAAAGTTAAACAAAATATTAATGAATAAAGGGTGAGTTTCTAACGAAACTGTGGCGATGATGATGATGATCGTTTAATTTCATTTCGTTCTCTTGTTCATCTGAAAAACCTAAACCTAAACGAAACTGTGGTGATGATGATGATGATCGTTTAATTTCATACTCTTGAACATCTGAAAAACCTAAGCATACACAAGTCCCCAGATCCTGATAAGTTATTGCCTCCTATCCTAAAAGAATGTGCATTGGAACTATCTACGTCACTTTGTAACTTATTTAACATGTCGTTCCAATCCCGCTCACTACCCAACGACTGGAGAATTGCACACGTCATTCGAATTTATAAAAAGGGACCAAAATATCAAAAGGAAAACTATCGCCAGGTCTCGCTAACATCTATCATCAGTAAAACGGCGAAGATCGTGAAATCGAGAGTTGTCTCAGTTTGGACGGAACACCAACTACTAAACCCAAGCCAATTTGGATACCTGGAAGGCCGATCGACAGTGTCACAACTTTTAAGCTGTTATAATGACTGGTGCTTAACAAGAAATTCGTCTAAAGTGTCTGATGTAATATTTCTGGACCTGTCAAAAGCGTTCGACAGTGTCCCTCATGAGCGCCTACTTTTAAAACTCAATAGGTACGGGATAGACGGGCAGCTGCACCTGTGGTTCAAGAACTTCTTAACCAATCGAAAACAAAGAGTTATGGTACGTGGATCGTACTCGGATTGGTCACCAGTTACATCTGGTGTCCCTCAAGGCTCAGTACTGGGACCGGTTATGTTCCTTATTTATGTGAACGAAATACCTGGCATCATCACGTCTACTGCCAAATTATTTGCCGACGATACCAAAATCTACCGACAGATAAATAATATCGATGATTCTATTGCTTTACAGATAGATCTGACCACCCTCGACCTATGGGCGGATCGTTGGCAGATGAAATTTAATTCTACCAAATGTGAAGTCATGAGAATTACACATAACAAAGACAAAAAGTCCACACGGTACAATATATCGAGTACAGTGTTGAGGAATGTATCTAATTACAAAGATCTTGGAGTTATTATGACTAGTGATCTGAAATGGTCAAAACATGTTGAACAAATAGTTCACAAAGCAAATAAGGTTCTTGGCTTACTTAAACGCACAGTAGGCGGTAAAAACAAAGATATTTTTTCAAACTTGTACAAAACCTTGGTTCGTCCAATCTTGGAATACGCCTGCCCGGTGTGGTCACCACACCTCATCAAAGACATCGATGAAATTGAGAAGATACAAAGAAGAGCCTCGCGAATTGCCTTAGGCCAAAGAAGACAAGAGATGGCGTA